GCTATTTTGAAGACGACACTTTTAAGAAGATGACTATTGGGGAGCTAGGTCATTTCATTACTATTCCTGTATAATTTTAAACTAATTGTCTATATCCATGTCTTAAGAAAAATTTTATAAATCCATGACATTTTTATGTACTGAAAAGTTTTATTTGAATTTCGATCTCACTCTTGGTTGTCTGCATTTGTACTTTTCGCAAGCAAGATCTTGGAGATTTACGAGGTGCATGAGTACCATCAAGGAATTTACACCTGCGAGGTCACCAACAGCCTTGGCGAAGTTTCTAGCTCTGCTAGTCTGCGAATTGCTCAAGCTCTGCGGCCACGTATTCTCACAGCACCTCCGGCAGAAGCAAATATCGTAGTTGAGGGCGGCACTCTGGTGATGCAGTGTTCAGCCTACGGTCAGCCGCGGCCAACTATCTCATGGATCTGGCAGAGAGGCGCCCTTCCACGAAATCTAGCTACTGGAGGGCGGCATATTGTGCGAACACGAATCCACAAGATTGGGCATGCAAACAGTGGACACGAGGGGGCTAGTAATACCACGATCTCTACCTTGTACATTCGTAATATGACCGGCGAAGACGCCGAAGGACGTTACGTTTGCTATGCTTCGAATCGGGTAGGCTCTGCAAGTGTTACCACCGTGATCCGCGTCGTGAAACGCGATTCTCGCAGACATTCTCCTGTCTGGCCTCCTTCAAAAATGTCTCGTTTAAACGATAAAATGTATAAGCAAAAAGAGGAAGAATTCTATGCAAAAGTCAATAGGCTTCAAGGGGGAAAAGAAGCAGTAAAAGAGGTCGATGGGAAAAAGCAAAATACGATGATACATGCGGAAAAGGAAAAAGGTAGGGAGTTGCCACCAATGTCTGTTGAGACAAATACTCTTTCACCCGAAGTATTGAACGCGACTTCAGGTGATGACTTCGTTCGCCAAGTGATTGAGAAAGCCCGGCAACGCGTCGAGGCTGCCATTAAGAAGACAGCCGATCGCCTTTGGGATCCAACACGTCGACGCAGCTCGACCGATATCGCTTCCCTCTTTCGGCAGCCGAGCCAAGCCGCTTTAGAATTGGCTAAAGCGGCGGAAGTCTACGAGGCAGCGCTCGATGAGGTTACTGCGGCATTGCGACAGAAGACCGGCTTCAGTTTTGGAGATGATAGAACGTCACAGCTGATGCAGTTCGGCGCGGAGATTGGAAATACTTCCTCAGAACCGGGGCTGGAGCAGGATCGTTACGCCCAGACAGTTCACGCAATGGGAGTTCAGTTAACTGCCGATCAATTGGCCATTATCTCTCAGCTTTCAGGATGTCAAACGACTCTCAACTTAGATGCATGTTCCC